TCTATAAAGGTTTATTATCCCCCCCCCCTTCCTAAATTACGAACTTTATGATTTCCCTACCTTAGAAACAAATCTGAACAATATTGCAAAATTCCTGACAAGAAAATTGAAAATTCCCAAGAAATCTATATTTCTCACACAAAGAAACTTTATTTTTATGAAACCGTAGAATTCTCTTACTCTGATCTGGAAAGAAATCTAAACATTGTTTTCGTAAAAGGATGTTTTGAGATTTACCCTATTATTATTATTATTACTATTATATAATGAGAGATTTCAAATGTAATTGAATAAATAATCGATATGATGTCAAGTCAGGGCGATAGTAGTATTTGGGTATTAATCTTGAATACAGACTAAACTCTAATCTTGAATACAGACCAAACTTTAATCTTGAATACAGACCAAACTCTAATCTTGAATACAGATCAAACTTTAATCTTTAATACAGACTAAACTCTAAACTTAATACAGACCAAACTTTAATCTTGAATACAGACCAAACTTTAATCTTGAATACAGACTAAACTTTAATCTTGAATACAGACCAAATTTAAATCTTGAATACAGACCAAACTTTAATCTTGAAAACAGACTAATCTTGAATACAGACCAAACTTTAATCTTGAATACAGAACAAACTTTTATCTTGATTACAGAATAAACTCTATATTAAATACAAACCAAACTTTAATCTTGAATACAGACTAAACTCTAAACTTAAATTCAGATCAAACTTTAATCTTGAATACAGACTAAACTCTAAACTTAAATACAGACCAAAGTTTAATCTTGAATACAGAACAAACTTTAATCTTGAACACAGACTAAACTCTAAACTTAAATACAGACCAAACTTTAATCTTGAATACAGACTAAACTCTAAACTTAAATACAGACCAAACTTTAATCTTGAATGCGGACCAAACTCTAATCTTGAATACAGACCAAATTTTAATCTTGAATACAGACCAAACTTTAATCTTGAATACAGACTAATCTTGAATATTGACCAAACTTTAATCTTGAAAACAGAATAAACTCTAATCTTGAATACAGACCAAACTTTAATCTTGAATGCGGACTAAACTTTAATCTTTTAATACAGAACAAACTTTAATCTTTAATACAGACTAAACTCTAAACTTAAATACAGACCAAACTTTAATCTTGAATGCGAACCAAACTCTAATCTTGAATACAGACCAAATTTTAATCTTGAATACAGACCAAACTTTAATCTTGAATACAGACTAATGTTTACAAGATTAGTCATATTCACTATTCAGTTCGCAAATCAAGGGATAAGTATTTAATTTACGAATTATCATGATCATATTGTAATGTATCTTTTATTATTTTATGATGTATTTTTAATAAGTTTTTATATGAGAGGGAATTGAAACTCCGTCTTATATAAAGAATGCCTGAAGCAATCCCTGCAAAGAATTATTTGATTTAATTTGATGATTTCTCACTTAGATTTGAGAAAATTGTTCTCTATGATGCCAATAATAAATATTTCACATTGTGGACAGTTAAGTCATTATTCATTAGAATGTAATTCTGAAAAAATTACTTAAATATTATGGAGATTGTCATTTTTTAATTTTCGTTTTTCTAGATTTCTCCGTGAAGTTGGTTTACCTGCCATAGGATTCTCTCCTATGCCCAACACCCCGACCCTGCTGCATGATCATAACGAGTTCTTAAACGAGGATATTTTTATCAAGGGAATAGATATATTCGTCGACCTCATAGCCAATGTTGCTTCGGTTTAAAAAAATGAATATTATTTGTGGGACCACATTTATTTCTATTGTATTAACGTTTATTTTGATTTTGTCAATACTTATGTGATCGTTTCATCGTTTATTTTGATATTTTAACATATTTTCTATCTATTAATTAAAAACAAAAAAAATTTCTTTTGGGAAAGAAGAATCTGTGATATTTTGAGAAATAATGTTGATTTTTCTTTTGTATTTATTTCCTGTTTGATATATCTAATATATCGATGCTATATACTAGTCAAGTCAATCATAAAATAATTATTTTTAAACCTACGTGGTAGGCAAGTTTGGGGAATCTTACTTTCCAAAATTTATTAGTCGTTAGTCTATATTTATACACATTACGTGGCAATATTAATATAGTTGTATGTAATTGGGGACAAAAATTATATTTTTGAATATTTATAATTTCAGAGAAGAATGAAATCTGTTTCTGGTTAATTACTACAGGATAGAGGATTGATATGTAGACTGTAAAAAAAGGTATGATAGCTAGATGCACAATGCACTAGGGTGACGCATGAAGATCTGAAAATCATTAAAAATCAAAAGGTGTAAAGGTTCTCCGGGTGACGTCAACCCTGAGTGTTAACATATTTTGCTCTAACTTGATGAACTTAACTTGAAGTAGGCTAATTGTTCCCATTTCTACACTGTGTCACCAAATTTTGTTCAGGCTGCATTTGGATATAAAAATTGAGATAAAAGGCCAAGATTTTACATGCAGCCTTCAATGGTGGCCCTCTACTTGGATCTTAAAGAAAACTAGGGACGATTGGAGGTCATTGACCTCCGTCGAAAATCAAGGTTTTGGTGAAAATCCGAAAACAACTTATACCTGATACAATGCTCAGATCAACATAAAATTTTCACAAAATGCTCATATTGTGCCACACCACCGATAGAACCTCCCAAAAAATGCTTTACTCCCTTTGTGTGTCACCAATGCACATGGCGAGGTACTCCTGGGATGATTTTAAGCGTTACATGCCCAATTCACAACAATACCTTCCTTAAAGCAGGAATAAGTTAATAAATTTTGCGCAGACGTACTTTTGTACTTTAGGTACAAAGTGTCACTTTAAAAAACTGCTGCAGTCCCATTTTTAGGGATAAAAACTGTCTACTCATTTTCTTCGCAATTAATTATACGTTTTGAAATAAAATTCAAATCTCCTTGTTGAATATTAAACCCATAATATTATTTTATGGTGACAAAATACAGCGTTTATCTCTGTATTGTCAAAAAAAAAAAAAAAAAAAAAAATTGCCTATTTATCAGCAATATTTGAAGAAGTTTGGTTGCAATTTTGGATAAGCTTACTTATGAGTTATAAAATTGCAGATTGATGTTAAAATGTTGTGAACAGGGTGATGCAGTGACAAAAATAGTATATATTTCCAGGGTGATGCAATGGCGGGTGGAGCTGCTGCAGCTGCCTGTATGACGGCGGATATATCTCGCCGGAATCCTCAGGACGATTATGAACTCATACAAAGGATAGGTAGCGGTACTTACGGAGACGTATACAAGGTAAATCNCCTGCAATTTTAGGATAATTAGGTAATTTTACCAATGAATGGGGGTAAAAAAAAGATTTTATTTGAAAATATAAATATGGTAAAAATTTCCAAAGAATATTAAACTTAATAAGTCCCAAAATTTTTTATTTTAGAAACGTTTCAAACACGTTCAGTTTTTTGTAGTTTACTTTACATTACCTTTTACTTTGAAGTAGTGCTTAGGATCCGGATCAGTTGGATCCGCATCATTTTGACCTCCTAGATTCGGACCAGATCCGGAACCACGTATCCAGAGACAAGTGAAGTAAAATTCTATCCAAAACCTGCTGAAAGTTAACTTATGCTCTCAAACACAAACCTTAATTAATTGTTATTAAAAAGAGAGATTATTAAAAACTTCCTTATCTCTGAATGGTTCATAAATTTTCAGAAAAAATAGCAAAAAAGAAAAAGTTTAACATTTTTTTACTTAAAACAAATCAGTTAATCTTGAAGAAATGTTCTGGACCGGGAATCGGATCCTTTTTTCAAGGCGGATCCAGGATCCAGGATCCAGGATCCGCATCAAAATGTAATGGATCCTCAGCACTGCTACCAATATTCTAATTTAATACTAACCACCTCGACCAATATCAACACTTGCATTAAAGCAGAACTTTGAATGGCCGCGCTGCAGAACAAAATAATTTCCTGTAAATTATTAATATGTTATATTAGGCAAAAAGACTGTCTAACAATGAGTTTGCGGCTATAAAAGTTATTAAGCTGGAGCCGGGAGATGATTTTGGAATTATACAGCAGGAGATCCTTATGATGAAGGTAATTCCTAAACCCCTGATAATTATAATAATGATAATAACAAGAATATTAAAAAGAATATCAAAAAGAATAACAAAGTTATTGACATTTAAATCTGATTTACATCCAACCCGAATTTGAAAACAGTTTTTATTTGTTAGTTTTTGTATCCTTCACTTTAAAACGGCTGATATTATTTGTATTCTTCACTTCCAAACAGCTGATATTTTTTGTATCCTTTACGTCAAAACAGCTAATATTATTTGTATCCTTAACTTCAAAACAGCTGATATTATTTGTATCCTTCACTTCAAAACAGCTGATATTTTTTTTAATCCTTCACGTCAAGACAGCTGATATTTTTTGTATCCTTCACGTCAAAACAGCTAATATTATTTGTATCCTTCACGTCAAAACAGCTGATATTTTTTGTATCCTTCACGTCAAAACAACTGATATTATTTGTATCCTTCACATCAAAACAGCTGATATTTTTTGTATCCTTCACGTCAAAACAACTGATATTATTTGTATCCTTCACGTCAAAACAGCTGACATTTTTTGTATCCTTCACGTCAAAACAACTGATATTATTTGTATCCTTCACATCAAAACAGCTGATATTTTTTGTATCCTTAAAGACTAAATGGTTGATATTATTAAGACAAAATGTTAGCACAAATTATGCCATCTTCATGAATTGAATTTAGTTGAATTGAATTGAATTGAATTGTATTGAATTGAATTGTATTGAATTGAATTGTATTGAATTGTATTGAATTGTATTGAATTGTATTGAATTGTATTGAATTGTATTGAATTGTTTTGAATTGTATTGAGTTGTATTGAATTGTATTGAATTGTATTGAATTGTATTGAATTGTATTGAATTGTATTGAATTGTATTGAATTGTATTGAATAGACAAGGTTTATTGCCGGTTGAAATCTAAAAAATATTTCCTAAAAACTATCGATTATTATTATAAATGGAAATCCATCAATGCTTACAGAAAAATCCGTTGAACATACAGGGTAAGTAAAAAAAAAGTGTGATTTGCAGCGCCAAAATTGTACAACTCTCCTGTATGGTGTTTTTCAATATTTATTTTAATTTGTAATTTTGTTGGTACTCCAATGGCCTAAGAGAAAATCCGCGAACCTTTTTTCTCTCAAAATCAAAAGTTCAGAAAAGCAAAAATGTGTATATAAATTATTTCTATCAAAATCTAAAATTTTAAAAAGATTGAATCACAGAAAACTCTCGAAATTGTAATAAGTTATTTAAAGTCTCTAGTTCCTTTCTTCTTAGTATATTCTAAAGTATTAAATATACGCTGTTCAGTTGAAACCTTAAGAATCATTAAAAACCAATATTTCCGTAAAAAATTGCGAATTTTTTAATTACAATTTTGCAAATTTTCTGAGATTCTGTGATTCAATCTTTTCAAAATTTTAGATTTCGATAGAAACAATTTATTTACACATTTTTGTTTTTCTGAATTTTTGATTTTGAGAGAAAAAAAGGTTCGCGGTTTTGTATCCTTCACTTCAAAACAGCTAATATTATTTGTATCCTTCACTTCAAAACAGCTGATATTATTTGTATCCTTAAAGACTAAACGGTTGATGTCATTAAGACAAAATGTTAGCACAAATTATGCCATCTTCATGAATTGAATTTAGTTGAATTGAATTGAATTGAATTGAATTGAATTGAATTGTAATGAATAGACAAGGTTTATTGAAGGTTGAAATCTAAAAAATATTTCCTAAAAACTATCGATTATTATTATAAATGGAAATCCATCAATGCTTACAGAAAAATCCGTTGAACTTATAAATTTATGTTCAAGTATGAAAACAATTTGGCGCATACAAAAGCTAAAAAGAGGGACGAAAAGCGCGTATTTATATTTATAACAAGTATGAATAGCTTGGCTATTGTTGTTTTAACAGTTTGCTTCATTATCGATCTCGGCTATTCGTCAAAATAAAACCGGTAAATTCTGCAAATATTTAANGGGGGGGGGGGTGAATTCTGACTATAAAATGCTTTGACTCTGAATTGTGTTCACTCGCATGTATTATTATCTTAAAACAATTTATTTTTGTTAGGATTGCGTTCATCCAAATATAGTTGCGTACTTTGGATCGTACTTGCGTAGAGATAAATTATGGATTTGTATGGAGTGCTGTGGGGGTGGGTCTCTACAGGATATTTATCATATTACAGGTAAATTTACTGTACAATTGACAGTTCAATGCATAGGATCCGGGTCCTTAATAATATGCGGATCTACGGATCCGGATTCAAGGGGAAGAAATATTCGGGTCCGTAATAATATGCGGATCTACGGATCCGGATTCAAGTGGCAGAAATAAAAAAAGATCCTCCATGCAGAGATGGCAATGTCCTATTTGATATAGTTCTTCCCTTTATAGCTTTGTCTGATCAAGTATGAATTAGATATCTAATATCCATGGTTTTATTAGTTTATTTTTATTTTTTATTTTCATGGTTGGTTTTTTGCAAAAGTAACTTGCGCATTTCTTGCTTTTAAGAAAAATGACAATACCGTCTTCCACATATTTACTTGTATACTTGATGAGTCATCCCAGAGCTCCAGGTAGGAACATGAGGGGAATTTCGGTAGTATCATTTTGAGTTGTGATCTGGTAATCTTGAAGAGGTCACGCTGTTGGGTCTTAGCTCACTCCACCTGGCACAAGCATAAAGATTTAAAAGTCTGTCATATCGAGCAGTTTTTGAAAGAGTTCGGCGACTTACTTCCGTAACTTCTGTTGTGAGTCTATTCCCTGTATTTACAACTCTGTAGGAGAAAAAGTTATGTCTCATCTCAGTCTTAGATCTGCTAGGTATCAGGTTTTTGTAATAAGCTGTTGTCCGTGTCAATCTCTGTTCATCTGTTCCTACTGTTCTGAACCATATACTGCTGTCTACCTGGTCGATTCCTGACAATATCTTCTAGGTTTGGATGATGTCAAATCTTTTCTACGTTTCTCAAGTGGCAATATACTCAACTCTGCAAGTTTTTCTTCAGTATTAAAACCTTTCAGACCAGAATTTTTTTAATTTCTCATTATTTGCCTTCAGAGGGGTAGTTATTTCAGTTTAAACAAATTATGTATAATTTCAAATTCAGAACTTATGGGTTTTTTTTTGGGGGGGGGGGGGGGGGGCATCGTCCAATGTACGCTCGGTGGACGGGAGTGTTTGCCCCAATTTCATCGAATGCTTGGTTGTCTTTCAATAATAATTTAAGAACTTTTTGGACGCATTTGTTTTGGGAGTTTTTTGATCAGCACTTTGGGGCGACCTTATAAATGATTTCTTGAATGGAAAATCAATTAGCAGAATATACATGTATATAAAAATGTTTAGGACCGCTCTCTGAGAAGCAGATAGCATACATGTCCCGTGAAACCCTACAGGGTTTAGCCTACCTACACTCAATGCAAAAAATGCACAGAGATATTAAGGAAATAATCTTAGTCACGAAAAAAATGGATCTTTCTTTACTTTGCAGAATGTCATAAACATTTTGTCAATAAATTAATGCTAAAATCGATTATTTCGTTTTCATTATTATATTGAATTTCTAATTTTCTTTGAATTTATTCGCAGATTTCTTCAAAATCTTCAAATGTCGTCTTTTCAATAATAATTCTAGAAAATCTGCGAAAATCTTTGTGAATAATGAGAACCAGAATGAGATAATAGAAACTAATAATTGAACAAGATTAGTTATTTTCGATGATCAGATTAATTTTTATGTTCTCAACATGTTCCTATACATGACGTCTGTAGTTAATTGTTGAACGTTTTTACATTTTATGTCGTCGTTATTCAATAATTAAAAAAAAAACTAATTCTGAAAACGTATCCACTCCCAAAGTAGTAGTTTTGAACATCGAATTTGCGCTCAAACTCAGGATTTACAGATCTTTAAAAAGTTATGTCTCGAATGAATCCGAAAGAAGCTTTCCACAACACTGCATACTCAGTTCAACTACCTTACATAGCCGGTCACTCCCTTTAAGTAATGATTTTTGGTTAAGCACTAATTAATGATTGTTTGATTGATTGATAAGATTGTCTATCGTTGAATAGACGGAATTATGAAATTATTGAAAAATGCTGTGAAAAACTGATTGATATTGGTTGATATTGATTGATATTGGTTGATATTGATTGATATTGGTTGATATTGATTGATATTGGTTGATATTGATTGATATTGATTGCTATTGATTGCTATTGATGGATATTGATTGAATTTAATTGATATTGATTGATATTGATTGTCATCATTGTTATTGATTGACTTTGATTGACATTGATTGACATTGGACATTGATTGACATTGATTGACATTGATTGACATTGATTGACATCGATTGCCATTGATTCGATTGATTGATTGACATTGTTTGATTGATTTTTTGATTGATTGATTGATTGATTGATTTATTGATTTATTGATTTATTTATTATTGAACTAATTAAGGAACTCCATACTGGATGGCCCCAGAAGTAGCAGCTGTAGAGAGAAAGGAAAAGATTCTTAGCATTTAAAACTTTAATATATTTTTCATTAAGTTATTCTTAAATGGACTGTAGATGTAATTTCAAGTTATACCATTTATAGAGGCACGTCTGAATCACAACAGTACTTTTTTAAGCTGTGACTAATTTAGGAATGCATTAGTAATTCATTTTTTGTAGCAATTGTTGTTTTTTGGAATTTTTTACGGCTTGACTTGCACATTTAGAAATAATGGAGGAAATTGTCGGAATTAAACACTTTTTAAACCAGTTGTCTTCCCTAATACTTAAACCAAGGTTGTGAATTTGGCTCCTCTGTAAATAGGAGGTCACTTAAAATTTACAACAACTGTCCATTTTTAAGCACACAAAAATATGAAAATTTAATAATTGTTTTTAGAAGCTGATAAATATTTGGATTAATGAAGTGTAATCACTCTGATCCTATTGTATTCATACAATGTTATAAAGAATCTGATTTCAGGGTGGATATAACCATCTTTGTGATATTTGGGCAGTTGGGATTACAGCTATAGGAAACCTTGTCAACTTGAAAAATCAAATATATTGAATGAAAAGAGAGAATCCTGAAAATAATTACCTCTTATTCCCTTTTCCCCAGAATAGTACAGTATAGATATATTAAAGGTGTTTACTTATAACTCCTTCCAATGTTATCGAAGAGAAGTAAAAATAAGAACTTGTTGGGATTCTTAATGTGACTTTAAAGGAAAAATGAAAGGGGGTAAAGGGTGAAAGCTAATCACTTTAGCTCTTGATCGCGACCCATGAAAGTTATATCTGATGTTCCTATCTCGAGAAATTGATGTAAACTGTGACAAATTTATAAGAAAATTCATATATATACAGTTTTGTATAGAAATAGTAGTTTTAAACAGATCATATTCAGCAAGAATTCTTTGAAATATTTCAAATTGATTGACAAGTTGACCTTTAGAGCTGGCTGAACTGCAGCCTCCAATGTTTGACCTCCATCCAATGAGAGCTCTTTTCCTTATGTCAAAGGAAACTTGCAAATTCAATACACTTAAATCTATTAATAAATTATTATTATGATTATTATTTTTATTATTATTATTATTATTATTATTTTTATTCTTATTATTTCATGTCTTCAACAAAGTAAAAAATGGTTTAAGTAATTTAATTTGCATGTAAATTAGAGTGGTTATAAACCACCGACTCTGAAAGATAAGAACAAATGGTCAGCAGAGTTTCAACAATTTATCAAAGATTGCCTTGTCAAGGAAATCAAACAGCATTTAAAGAATATTCCTCTAAAAACAAATCATATAAAATGTCTAAAATTTTCAGTATTTCAATTACCTTGACCTTATCTTTTAATTGTAGCTCTTTTATCAATTTTTTTTCGGGGATTTTGAAAAATCTTAAATTTTTTAAATTCTAACCTCCATGAACCCTCCCTGGGGTCATGTGAGGTCCCACAAAAAAATTAGACCCAATCGGTTGAGCCGTTTTGACGTTTATCGGTAACAACCAAACGAAACAAACAACAAACAGACAAGCAAAGTATGTAGATTGATGATTTGTTTTATTATTATTTAAGCATTTGATATGTTATAATCCTTGCATCACATTTATGTTTTCAATTTATCAACACTCTCAGCTCATATTCGACATTTCTCCTCACATACAAATTAAAAACATCATATAAAACTGATAATTTTGTAAACTTTGCCATGTGTATTTACATTTATGTCGCAAATTAGTGCTTCCTCTTATGGTGCATTTGAAATAGTGGGTCATCAAGTAGGTGTTCTAGTATTTCAATAGTTCTTGGTCGACCCCACTCTTAATGCTGTTGGTTGGATAGAACCCAAAGAAAAGACCTCCTGCAGAACGAATGCTGTGCCATCAATTCCTCCTTGCACCTGATTTATCCAAGAGACAAGCAGTGGAACTTCTAGCAAAGGTTGGTTTAGTTTAATTTTGCAAATTTTCTGTGATTCTTTGATTCGAGAAAAAAAATTTGTCGGATTTTTTTTGACCATTGAGTACCAAAAAAAAATATTGAATAAATACCATATAAGAGAGTCGCACAAAAAAGGTACAATTTTGCATCAGACGCCACTAATCACACTTTTTTTGACTCACCCTGTATATTTTTTAGTGTTCAATTAAAATATACAATACTTTATACAGTATTCACCTCTGAAATATTGAATTTAGTTCATTTAATATTAGAGTCAACTATGATGTTTTAGGTTCGGAACCCTGATGCTCTTGTTCCTGTTTATCATAGTGAAGAACAGGTTAAATATACTAATTTAGATTAGTGGATCAATAAGATTAGTTTGATTTTATTATTTCAAGCTTTCTTGATTTTGCAGTCTTTATTGCCATGCTATTTATATGGCATTTTGGATCAAGTCCAACCATCATTGTTGCAAACTGTATTTTTTTCCAAAGAAATTCATATGCCTTATTTAAGGATGAGGAAGGGGGTTTGGTTAATGTGCCCACAAGAATTGCCTCCAAACAGACCAAGGCACATGGTAGAACTAAGTCTGAAATGAACAGTAAGTAAACATTTCTTAAACCTTGGACATTTTTTTGATAATATAAATGTTTTTATGTGTCGAATATTTTTATCTTCAATTATTGATTTTTCAGTGGAGTCCATTAGTTTTGAATCCCCACTTGTGACAGAGTTAACCCCTGACACGGGCACAGACAGACAAAGAAACCTTAACAATCCCTGGAATTCAGATGGTAAGTTTTCAAACAGAGAGACTTAACTTCATGTTATATCATGTTATAGTTAAAGTTTGAAACTAGTTATTTAAATTAAATGTTACTTCAGACGGTGATAAAACTTTGTCCCGTGATGAAGCTCTGGACGTTGAAGAAGACCTTAGTACTGCCATTGATCAGGTAAATCACCTAGCTTATTTTTTAAAGCTCCTAAATAATATGATCTTAGCTAAATGTTTTTTCTGATTTGTGTATGCAGGCATTAGAGAGCTATGACCTTGCAACCAGTTGGATGGAGGGAGACGGGGAAAAGGATGTTGTGAGAAAGTAAGTCACGCTTTTAAATTTTCGATTTCTGCATTCTCTAACCGCATAATTTTGTAACCTAACTTTGATGAGCACTCTTCAATTTTGGCCATTTTTAAATGGCGCACACAGACTTTCAACAACGATTTACATAATTGAGATTTGATGCAACTTTTTCAAAGCTTGTTTGTTAAACACAAATAGTTTTTCATAGCTTGGAATATCAAACAATTTACGCTATCCAAACTGTTAATGGAAAATTTAAAAAAAATTTATAATTGTGAAAAATTCTTTATTTACACAGATCTTTTATGATGTTCTAGTAAATCAGATTTAAGTAATTTAAGTTACAGAATTTGGGTATACTCCACTCCTACTGTTATGCCCTGTTAAGTACAAAGTAACTTATCATGTCATGTAATGTAACTTATCTTTGGAAAACTTGAAACTTTTAAAACTGTCAGATTCAACAACAGTTATTCATCTTTCTGTATCCAACAGATAGGGGTTTGTTTGATTGCTATGTATTCTTTTTTTTTAACCATAGATATACACAACTTATTGTTATAAATGCCTTAATTAATGAATGTTAAATAACCTTTGATTCTTGTGTAGGAATTTTTATTGTTACCTAATGCACATTGCACATTTTTTCGATGAAATTGGAGAAATTTTACATTTTTAGGAGTTTAACTTTTAAGGAAAAGTTTAGCAGTTGCCAACTTTGTATATCATGTATTTAGTAAATTAAGTTTTGAAAGATAGAGATAGTAAAGGTTCTTAAGTATTAATTCAACAATTTTTAAGGGGAAAAGTATCTGTCAAAAATTCTTGTTTTTCTTGAATGTGGGTCTGATTTTTTATTATTGTTTTAGTATTGATGATGATTCAGACATTTTTAAGTTCAAGCCAATGTGGCCCAAAAGACATTCGGTATTAGTAAATATTCCTCCCCGTGACCAGCATGAGGACCGTGGGAACATTAGTCAGAAAGCAAGGAAATTAATGCAGCCTTTGAAACATAACATTCATCTACAAAAAATCATGCCTTACAACTGGAATAGCATTTTCAAAGATGAAGAAGTGGCGAAGAAGAAAATCAGTAAAGAGTTCCTGGATGACCCTCATGGGTTTATAAAGGGTCTATGCTTACCTGAGCAAACAATGTCAAGTGCTCAGTCAAGTCCAGATTTAGAGGAACAAACATTAAGTGGTAACTTGATCAATGGATCTTTCTCTGATCTGTCACTATTTGATGAGATTTTTACCGAGCTTGGCAACACGCTTCCCAGGCACTGTGATCAGAAACCTAATTTGTCAGATGTAGAAATGGAAAACAGTGAAAACGAGCAAGCAAGGTATTCAGCTTGGTGGATTGAAACAAAATTACAATATTTTCATTAACTACACCAAACTTCTTGCTTACTAACATGCATACAATACCTAACTTTCCACTGATGTGTGGTTTTTAAAATCTGGAAGAACAGAGCTGAAATAATATGAATGTCTGGTTTGTGTTAAAAACGTATTTCCTTCTAAATAGAACAGAAACAATCTAGCGAATGATTACAAACATGAAAATCAGTACCCTTTTTGTTAGAGGTAGCACAACAGCACACACAAATGATTAATAGAACATATTTCTATTCCTAGAAAAAAGGGTAGACTTTGATTGTCAGGATGACTTTTTCTTATTTCGTTTCAGATAATTTAAGCAAACATTGAAATTAAGCTTTAAACTGTTAACACTGAACAAATGTACTAATTTGACAAGATTTAGCCATTTTTTAATTTCCCGTTGAAATTTAATGTGTTTTTAAAACTATTAGCACTACAATGGTTAATGCTTAAATAACAAATTCATTCATTTTTAAATACTTTCTTTCTAATACTTTTTTTTACTGCTGTGTCATCAATAATTTGAAGTGGTCTCTTAAAATATTCTGGGCATAATTACAATATTGGGATTATTGGTATAGTTTCAATATCTAGGTCTATGCTGCAGAAAATAGATGTTGAATTAGAGTTGAGGTAATTTAAGTAGCAAGTGTTGAATATCCTTCCAAAGTCTATTTTCTAAGTTGCTACTTCCTAACCGTTCTTGTTTCCATTGTACTTACTGTCGGCTGAGATTTTGTATGTCTTGGTTTTAGTTTATAAAGGGTATAATATAATTAAAATATTATTTGCAGTTATTTTTGCATTGCATGATTTTACACACAAGTTAACAAATAACATTCAATGCTAAATCACTGATTACATGAAATAACATACTAACTAGCTTTAGTAAGATGAATACCATCTCACAAAAATATCTGTTCTTGAATCTGACTGTTTGTTACTTCTGATTCTCCTGACTTAAACTAGTATTATTTGCCTGTCTAGACTGCACATGAGATACATGAGAAACTTCTACTGGAAAGGATATAAAGAATGCTTAAGTCGATCAAATATCCAATCCAGAGAAGTTTCCCATGTTGACCAGGAAACCAGGTAATTCTTGGATCTCCATCTGACCACTAAGAAAATGTTGCAATTAGGATTAGATTTATTTTATGATAAAAAATGTGCTTTGTTGGTCAGCATGAAAAGGTTAGGTACAAGATAAAACTGGTAGTTTTACACAGAATGTTTAAATTATTACCTAGTAAGGATTTTCTAAGCTTACTCATGAAATAAACCCAGCTTGAAATAAATAAATATTGGGCACTTTTTGATAAAAAGGCTTAAATCCATCTTGCCATATGAAATGCTTTTTTTATAATTTTTGAACTCGTTTAGTTTGTTGCTTTCTTTTGTAGATAAAGCACTTCTGTAAGAGAGAGAAAATTGAAAAATAAATTATGATTAGTATCAAAATATCCGGCTTGAAACACTGAGTTTAGAGTAATAGAAATATCAAAAAATAAGCAAAAACCCAGGTTTTTTGAAAAGATGTCTTGAGTATCGCAAAATATAAATCAAACAGTTTTCAAAATAGCAAAAAATATGGACAAATGGATGGTTGTGTCAGCGGTTGGAGATACCTAAACCAACAAATTTAGAAATAATTTAAAAATTCAAAATCTCTAATGATCTATGTAATTGTAAATTATAAAATTGTTGATTTTTCAAATTTTTTTCTTTATTAGATATTCTAATTTGCTATTGAATATTTTTTTGCTGGTGCAAATTAGACTATACATTTCAGATGAAAAAGTTTGACACCAAGTAAAATATGACTGTCAAGAAAGCAGGAATATGATATGGGTTTTAGATTGATCTATTGAGTTTAAGTACGGAAATGAACATTCCGTAAAGATTGTAACCTAATATTTTAAGTAGATAAACCTTCGAAAATATTATGTAGTTATTTTGAATTACTTACTATCGTAAATGTGTTATTCTTACCGTACCTTTTCAAGCTTTTGTTTATTCAATATAATAGCCCTACTATTAGTGTAATTAAATGCTTTTCACTAAATATAAAATGCAAATTTTTCTTAGTATTGCACAGTAGAAGTTTAGTAAATAGTTTTTAGGTAAATATTTTTTGTAGTTTAAAGACAACTTTTGTCCTGTTTTTATTGTAAATTCTTTTTAACTTTGTATTAACACATGGGACAGAACTAGTTAATTTAACAGCATGCAACTAAATAATTAAATAAACGTTTATCTGTTTATTTTTCTAATGTGCAGTGTTTATTTAGAAGAAATACATTTTTTGGAACCACCTTCAGTTTTGTATTGAATACTGTTATTTGAAATTTTTATCTTTGGGTTCCACATTTCATAGTTGTTTCTTTCACTTGACTGCAACTTGTATACTTATTTAATTGAATGCTGCATGATGCATCAAGTTCATGAAATAAATCACTTCTAGAAATTATAATTATTTATGTTTCAGGGGTCACACAGGAGCATCTTTATCCAGGTAAACTAACTCAACGCTTTTGAACCGAATTTAATTAATTAGAGCTGGCGAACGAAGTACCTAATGCCGCACTGCACTGGTTCAAATCCCTTTGTAGTTTAAATTTGAATCGTGATTCAAGAATTGAACCGGCTGTAGGTAGTTAACTAGCCTAGCTTGTTACTCAATAGGCCTGAAATGGTCGCGTGAGTTAGGCCCTCCTTTTTCACACTATCAGAACGTCCAACATTAACCTTGGATCTCATTTAATTTATCTGGAATTTTTTTTTGATTACTTTCCTGTGATGTCAGGTTTTCAACGGATTGAAAATCCATTAAATACCCTTTATTAATTTAACATAGAGTTAAAATGAATATTGAATACTTCTCAAAAACATAAATTTACATAATTTCATAAATTTGTTAAGAATGTTTTCTTGGTGGTTCTTTGGACAAATAACTCAACAAATGACGTTATATCTCTTTATATAGAATTATCTAAAATTATAAACATTCTCATATTATGGAATATAGATTGAACGAAACATATCACAAAATTGGCCACCAGGGAAACATCTGTGGTGGTCTGGCTCTCTGTTATCAGTGTTCTAGTAATTAAAAAATATTATTAGAAAAAGCAATTATAGCTCAATATAGCTTCAATTAATTAAATTTGGTCCCTCGGGAGTTTGTCCCTCCAGATTTTCAGAAGTCTGTCATGGTGCCAAATCGACCCCCTTCCCTTTAATAATATAACACTTTATTTTTGCGGGAAAGGGAAAGTTTTATGCAAGAATCACAACGCAAACAATTACTTTTCAAGGTCTAAGTTTAAAGTATAAAGCCTAAAAGCATACAAGAACTTTCCTATTCTTTGTACCGCAAGTGTTCCTTTTGAACTTAAAATTTCGACTTCAAGTCTCTAAAAATGGTCTTTTGAAACTGAATGAGGACCCATGCCATCAGTAGATGGTAAAAATATTTATATTACTAAGTCTCAACTTCAGGCCCTGAACTTGTTTTGTCTGGTTATCTCATAGCTAGATACAGGTCCAAATGTTTTAAGAGCAATGATTAGTTTAGTTATTTTTATCATTAATATTTGTTGTTTGCTAGATATGAGTCTGGATACAGTGATGGGTCAACTCTACGGATGTCTGATAGCATTCCAAACCATTCCCAGCACAGGCGGAGATCCTCCGGTCCAGAGGTACTAGGACAATCGTCATTTTCAGTATGTTTCTTAGAGTTGTCTTAATCAGTCTCATTTTTATTATTCAAATAGTTAAATATCACATATAAATTTTTAACTGTTTATGATTTCACTGAAGTCTTTATTTAGCACGTAATCCATGGCATTTGTTAATCTTGTCAGTAGGAATCATCAATCATCATTCATCATCCTAGAACTTTTCACTATTTTCTCCAGGGAATTTATCTCTCTAATTTTTTTATGTTCTCAACATAATTTGTATCATTATAATATACAATGCGATTAGAATTTTGTAGACGTTCTCAAATGTCCTCGGATTTTTTGTTTTAGTCGGCGCATTTTCAAAAATGTTAAATGTGGACATTTATTTCTGGGATAATTTTGTTCCATCTTTGACGTTCTAAAATCTTTCCATGGGGTCATGTTAGTTACCACAAGAAAATGGGTTCAGCCTTTTTGATGTTCTTTTTTATGTAAAGACAGAGAGTCAAACAAACAGACAAGCTAAAAGTCATGAAAACCAGCACAAACTGACAACTAAACAATTTGTTTAATGGAAAAGATGCAATTTTATAAGCTTTAATATTTTCAGCCTGTAGAACTGTCTTCCACTAGTCTAAACCAACTAAACTTATCTTCGCCACAGACAAGGCATAGAAGCTTGTCCGACAGTCGTGCCCAGGATGGGAGGTAAAATCCCCCCCTCACTTTTGAAAATATTTTTTTTCTCAAGTTATATAAATTTCTTGTGTTTTCTTTCGCCGAATGGGGGGAAACATAATTGTCTTTTGATGTCTAATGTTTCATTTTTTCCCCCAAATCATCAAAAATCAATTTTGAAAAATATACACCCCTTATACAGGAATAAAAAGAAAGAATAAAAAACATTTTTATCAAACTTTTTTGCTTGTTATTCAATATGGGTTAAGTTTCTATTCAAAATTGTTTAAATGGAGTAGCAAAAGAAATTACTATAGAAAGTGATTTAAAAACATTTCATCGTAAACATTGTTTTTGTCAACTTGTTTCGACCAAAACCAATGTTCTCTATTGGTATTATTTTTATGTGGAATTAATTCAGACAAAACGGTTCAAATTCTCCTCATCCTCCACCCAGACGAAGAGAACGAACCTCCTCCTCTAAAAGAGCTACCTCTCCTCCCTCCCCTCCGAAAGCCACCTCCAACGGGTTGCCTCCGACTCCTAAGGTTCACATGGGTGCCTGCTTCTCTAAGGTGTTCAATGGATGTCCCTTGAAGATCAACTGCACGGCTAGCTGGGTTCATCCAGATACACATAATCAACACATACTGGTTTGTGCATAATCCGTTTACTTATTTCATAGATTATATAATGGAACTGTAGACGTAATTTTGTTGTGTCTCCTCATTTTGCAAGTGAATGAGATATTCATATTTTTCCTCTGGAAGATTAATTATTTTTAATTTTTTTTTTTTTTTTATAAAACTGACTGTACAGACTGTACAGAAACAACGGAGGAAATTGTTAGAATTAAACACATATAAAATTAGAAAAACTAATTAATCAGATAAAAGGTTTAAAGGGTACAGTTGGCAATCAAACATTGATTTGATAAATACGCAGTCACTTCAAGTTACAATATCAACTTCAAATCAGTGCTTAGGTTCCATTTAATTTGATGCGGATCCGGATCGATCCGCACTGGGAAAAAATAGATCAGGATCAAGGTCATGAACTCAAGTTTTGAGAGCTAAAGATTTTTTTTATCTTTTTGTTGATATTTTGCCCTAGGATACGGATCCATGGATCCGCATATTTTAGCGGATCCAACGGATCCGGATCCTAAGTACTGCTATACATACATATTTAAAAATAATGGTAAAATGAAAAGTTCAGAACTTTGGTAGTTTCAGTATCTGATTCATTGATTGCTGAATTTATTTATTTGATATGATTGTTGAACTTGTCAATTGATTGGCTAGCTGACCAGAAAATAGATTAATTGATCAACTCCCTTAAACGATTTATACCATTTTACATTCCTTTTATTATCAAATGATTGATTTAACGTTGGATTTATTGATTGGTTATTTAGGAACTTCGCGCTTTACAAAAAAACTGTTGATGAGATCTTTTTTTTTTTTTTAATATGAAGAAGTCCAGACTGAAAAACCAGGACACGGAAAGGACTTGAACCTCCAATCCATTACTGGAGTCCATTGTCATCCCCGCCCTTTGTGATTTGATTTGATTTAGTACATTAATTGATTGATGAACTGATAAATTATTTTGTTAATTTACTGATAGACTATTTTGTTAATTTACTGATTGTTAATTTTGTAATGAATTAAACGATTGATTTGCTGATTAATTAAACAGTTTGATTTATTGACTATTTTATTAAAAAGAATTAACCATTAGATTAATTTATTGAATCATTTTGTAAATTTACTGGTCACATATTTCTTCTATTGATTGATTGTTAAGGTGGGAGCTGAGGAGGGAATTTATACTCTGAATCTGAATGAGTTACATGAGAACGCGATGGATCTTCTCTACCCTAGGAGAACAGTCTGGATGTTTGTTATCAAGGATGTTCTAATGACACTTTCAGGTATATACCTCGTATAAATATTAATTTCATAGATACATTATTCATGCATTATTATGGGGAAAGTTATTTTGGGGAAAGTTGTAGAATTTATTTTCTTTAAAGCTTAGAAAATTATCTTGTGGGGGGGGGGGTGGAGGGGTTATCTAAAATTTATTCATAATACATAGTATATATATCCCTAAAATTGCTTTTACATTTTATATCACGCACAAGTTTGCTAAAGTACTTCATTTAAACATCTATTTTTATGGTGTGAAAGTCTGTTACTACTTAAAATCGTTGACTTTCCTTATTTAGGGATCTTAAAAAGTTACATAATAAGAGAAGTGTAAGACTTAACACGGCCATCTTCTTGATCATATGACGATATATTTTCTTTCTACTCAGGGGTGTATATAATTTTACCATCATTTCTCCCCCTCACCTTACCCCTTTGAAAAATTTTCTATTTTCAGAAGTTTGGTGTGTGTTTTAAGTTTTTTTTTGGATTTTTTTAGTGGAGAAAAATTAATAAACTTTAGGATATAAGTATCAATAACGATATAATAATTTACCTCTTGATGTCCATTTTCCCTCCAATCTAAAAAAGTTATTTCCAGGGTGTGTGTTAATAGTTTAAAACAGTGCTTATGATCCGGATCCGTTGGAACCGCAAGATTTTGGCTTCCTGGATCCGGATCCGCAAAAATATGCGGATCCATGGATCTGGATCCAAGTGGTAAAATATGAACCAAAAACTGCAAAAACAACTTTTTTACTCCTAAAACCAAACTCTGAACCTTTGAAAAGAAAAAAACAAGCGAAAAAATAAAACAATAAATTTGAAAATTATTTTTTGTCAAAAAAATTCAGTAAATCTTTAAGAAATGACCAGGATCCGGATCCGCATCAAAATTAAGTGGATCCTAAGCATTGGTTTAAAATATACACCCCCCTCTCCTGTTTTAACCTCACTGACTACCGGATTTTATTGTAATGATGATTTGAATAGTAAGTTTAAATGTTTTAGGAAAAACTCCAAGTTTATTTCGCCACGATCTAGTTGGACTTCATGCTAACAGTAAACAGAATCATAGGTTCACACTCTCAGTTAATGCAATGACCAAGGTAATAATCTTAGTAACATACAGGGTGTCCCACGAACCAGGACATTTTAAAATATCTTCTTAGATAACTTATTAAGTTGTTTGGTACAAAAGAGAATAATGAAAAATATTATATGGTAATCATATTATAGTAAAATTAATTTCAAAGTAAAACATATCTGATAAAAAGATTTTTTTTAACAAAATATATTGCTATAAGTCTTAAATGTCTATTACTTTATATGGAAGAAGACATTCAAAACTATTCCCCAACTGTCATGTTTCCTTGGATATTCTGTAGTTTTTAGTGTTTAATGTATTTTTACAACACAAATTCCTATTCTCTCTTCCCCGTTCTCCCTTTGAAAAGAGATAAAAACTCAACGGAAAACATCTTACTTTTGCAGAACATATAAATTATATATATTTTCATGTCAACTTTTTCCCCCAAAAAGTTGACATTGGTTGTTACTCTCTGCAATATTTGTTTTTCAAATAAATTTAAAAAAGCTAATAAAAAAGTTAAACTTTTCGGTTTAATCAATCAATAAGAGAAAAACTGCTAATTTCTTAATAAATGTCCCCCCCTCTCCTTCTAAAAAAAAAACTGCCGGTTATTAAAGAAATATTAATTCAGAATTCAGACCCAAAAAAAATTCTTTTCTTAAACTTCAATAATTTCCTAGATTCCTGAAAAGTTTGTTCCTAAGAAGTTCAGTATGACAACAAAAGCTCCAGATACTAAAGGATGCACTAAATGTTGTGTAGGAAGGAATCCATATAATGGCTATAAGGTGAGATTGTTACCTAACCAGTAACCATACCATTGTGACCATCATCAAGTGACTTATTACCACTAATCAGTAACTCATGACCAATAAACATTGACCATTTTCCACAAACGAGTAATTTATGACTAATGACTGATGACCACCTAATTTTGACTTATGAGCAGTGTCCAATAACGTATGACCAGTGAACAATGACTTATACCAATGACCAAAGATGTATGACCAGTGACCAAATACGCATAACCAGTGACCAATGCCCTATGACCTATGACCAGTGACCAATGTCTCATGAACAGTGACTAATGACTTATGACCAGTGACAAATGACGTATGACCAGTGACCAATGACTTATACCAATGACCAAAGACATACGACCAGTGACCAAAGACTTATGAACAGTGACCAATTACGTATGACCAGTGACTAATGAGTTATGACCAGTTACCAATGACTTGTGACCAGTGACCATTGACTTATGACCAGTGACCAATGACTTATGAACAGTGACCAATGACTTATGACCAGTGACCAATGACTTATGACCAAAGACCAGTTGCTTTTGACCAGTGACGTACCAGAATTATTTAAATAATCCTAGAAAGAAAAAGACGTTTCTTTTGACAGGTCGACATTCAACATTTAATTTACAAATTGATTTAAAATTGATTTTTAATTTATTGATTTAGTAATTTGCCATTGTTTAAGTATCTGTGTGGAGCTCTACCTGGTGGTGTATTCCTAATGCAGTGGTATGATCCTCTTAATAAGTTCATGCTTCTCAAACACTTTGAGTGTTCAATATCAAACCCACCCAGGTATATAAAATCTCTTGATATTCCTTTTAACAATGTTGTTTTTGTGTAACCTAGGGTGTTCATTGATTCGTGTTTTTTATTTGTAATTTCTGTGATGGATTGTAAAACATGTGAATTAACAAATATATAATTAACTTTATTAATCGGTTACTGATAAATTATTTGTTCTATGTTTTGGGCCAACTTTCGTATTGGTGATTATCTATTTTTATTGATTTGAACTAAGAAATTTACTTACTTTTATCAACACCTTTTCCGAAAAGATTAACTCTCATTAAAGTTTTTTTGTTTACTGTTGATTAAATAACCGCTTTGTGTCCATGGATTCACTTCGGTCCCAAGGACCTCTATTTTATTGAACGATTGTCTGCTAATAATAGTAATTTATTTGTATAATTCAGAGTGTTTGAGATGATAATAACTCCTGACCTAGAATATCCAATTGTGTGCGTAAATGTTAGGTAAACAGTTTATTTATAACAAAAACTTGCTTCCCTATTAATGAGAATAAAAATAATTAACTACAGAGTCTAAAACTAAAGAATGCGCGAATTTTAAGTTCGAGGTTAAAAGTTCTGTAAAATAATGAGTAGCTACTTAAATATTAAACTTTCTCAAATTTAAATTTGAATTTCCCGGGAAAAATCTGAACCATTCAGAGAAAAGGATTTAAAGAATTATTACGTAAGTATCGGTATTCGGTAATCAGCTGTTTTTTAAATTTAAATGATTTACGTGATTTGGGTTTACGTGCAAACATTAATTAATCTAAAAAAAGTGAAATTTTATTAAATCAAGGTTTTTACTTTTAAATATATCGTAATTAGTTGAATGCCGCTTAGCGCTGAATGATGATAGACAAATATGGGATTGCGGGATTTCAAGATTTTAACCCTGTGTTTAAATTTTAACTCGTCGATTTCGGCGAGTTAAATATTTAACTACAGGGTTAAATATTTAACCTCACGCTTAAAGTTCAGGTTTAAATTAAGTCAGAAGTGGCATTTAACCATGAACTTAAAATTTAAGTCAAAACTTTTCGTTCTTTAGTTTTAGACTCTGGACACTGAAATATTTTTCGCTGGGAGATCACTATTTTGACATTGTCAGCGAGTCAATACATCTTTTTAGTTTCCACTGAATAAGAATAAAAGGTTAAATCTAAAAAAAGGGTTGCTTCTGATGTAATTCTTTAAATAGCTATTTTTTACGCTGATATTGGTTTAATGCGGGGATATGATAGAAAAGAGTTTTAAACTAGACATGATCAATATAAACTTAAATATGTGTTTAAGGCGGGGATATGATGGAAGGAGTTTAAAACTAGACATGATCAATCTAAACTCAAATATGTGTTTAAGGCGGGGATATGATGGAAGGAGTTTAAAACTAGACATGATCAATCTAAACTCAAATAGTTCCTGGTTCCACAGTGACGAGCTGGAGGATCAGGTAAACACCACTTTAAAATGTTTCCCGGCAAAACATTTCCAGAAAATAACACGTTTCCCGAAAAAAAACGTTTCCTTTAAAATTTTGCCTGACAAAACATTGTTATGCTTCAGAAATTTGAATTATTTATCATGAAGGTTTAAGTATTAAAAAATACTTTGATTGGAATGAATAAAACATCTGTTTTAAACCAAAAAAAATGGTGTTAAAGAAATTGTTCTTTATTATTATTTTAACATTTTTGTAGGATGGAACCCAGACTGTGATACCAAGACATGAACTGATGAATATTGTGTCAGTTACACAACTAGAGAAGGATACTATACTAGTCTGCTACGACAGTAAGTAGAGGGGGCGGGCTGTTCGACATCAAGAGGAGGAGGGTAGGCCGTAGGTGGCAGTTCCATATGATTTTCTTTTAAATTCAGGCTAATCTGATATAATTTAGATATGGTGAAAGTTGTGAATCTGCAGGGGAAACTTAAATCAAACAAGAGACAAGCATCAGAACTACATTTTGATTTTAGCATTAATTGTATAGGTAAAGAGAATTCATTTTATAATCTTAAGTAATTGCGTGGTTTAAATTCACTGATCCAGTCTAAACCTTGGCTCCTAAAAAAATTAGCTCGAGAAAGGCACATTTTTAATATCAACAAATAAGATATCATTAAAACACCCCTAATCATTGAATTGAATAAATGAGAGAGCATAAAAAAATATTGAAAACAAAGAAATATGCACTACAATTTCATGGTTTCCAAGCACTGCACTACAATTTAATGGTTTCCAAGCACTGCACTGCGATTAAATGGTTTCCAAGCACTGCACTACGATTTAATGGTTTCCAAGCACTGCACTTCGATTATATGGTTTCCAAGCACTGCACTACGATTTAATAGTTTCCAAGCACTGCACTACGATTAAATGGTTTCCAAGCACTGCACTACGATTTAATGGTTTCCAAGCACTGCACTACGATTAAATGGTTTCCAATCACTACACTACGATTTTATGGTTTCCAAGCACTGCACTACGATTAAATTAAATGGTTTCCAAGCACTGCACTACGATTTAATGGTTTCCAAGCACTGCACTACGATTTAATGGTTTCCAAGCACTGCACTACGATTAAATGGTTTCCAAGCACTGCATTACGATTTAATGGTTTCCAAGCACTGCATTACGATTTAATGGTTTCCAAGCACTGCACAACGATTAAATGCTTTCCAAGCACTGCACTACGATTAAATGGTTTCCAAGCACTTATTCTAGCAGTAAGGTTGTTAGCTATTTTGCAGGGAAATATTTACCCTTAGCTGAAATGCCCGGCGTTGCCCGTGGAAAAAATTGAATTTTGAAAAATCTATTTTTTAGGCTAAAAATTACCCCTCGGGTTCCCATGGGTTTCTTCCAAAAAATTCAGCCCTCCGATCGAGCCGTTTGGCCAGTTATAGCTTACACACATATATATAAATATATATGAGCAAAGAGCTTCATCATATAGATTGTATAAAGTTGTAATTTAGCTAAGGATTTAACTAAGTTATTTTTTTCATAAATCTCATTTTGTTTAATTTTCAATTCAATCTAAGAACATAATATATGTATGTATATATATCGGAATTACACATTTTTTTTTTTAGTTTGTTTAACAGACAGTGTTTTGGCATTTCATAAACATGGGATGCAGGTAATCAAATAATTCAGATAATATTTTTATTATTATTATTGTTGTTATTATTATTATTATTATTATTATTATTATTATTATTATTNATATTTCGTGCAAATATATATTAATTTCAATATTTTGGATATTTGAATCTGTAAATGTGTATTCGTATTTGTATCTTATTGCTTCGGTATCTTTACTATATAATGTTGCTGTATCTGCATTTCAAACTGTAATTTTATTTGTATTTGTATCTGCATCTGTATCTGTATCTGTATTTGTATCTTTTTCCAACTGTATCTGTATTTTTATCTGTAAATGTATCTATTTATGTATCTGTATATGTATTTGTATTTTTATCTGCATCTGTAAAATATATCTGTATCTGTATGGGAACTTTTTGTATCACATCCCTGTCTGTATCTGTACATATATCTGTATCTTCATCTGTATCTATATCTGTACCTATATCTGTGTCTTCATCTGTATCTATATCTATATCTTCATCTGTATCTATATCTATATCTGTTTCTGTTTGTATCTTTATATATAAATGTTGTTTATCGTTAGTGGACTAAGCTTGGGTATCGTTTTTACATCCTTTTTTGTCTTTGAAAAGATGTTGGCTTCTTTAATAGTGATTGAAACAAAAGCTTTTTTTATTATCAGCTAATGTTGATTTCTCTCTAGGGACTTCCACTGAAACTAAGATGAACCACTAATCTTGATCGCTGGGTTAAGCTGAAGAGAAATTAAAAAAATATTAAATTCCTATAAATTAAATTATATTAAAAAAGGGTTAGGATAAGGTAGAAAATTATTCACTCGAGGTTGCCAAGAAATGGGGGGGGGGGGTCCAAAAATCACATAACTTTAGATTTTACCCAAAACTGCAAATGTCTGTAAAAAGAAACTATTCTCTCACTAAACTAGGCTGATCAATTAGTTGGCTGCTTAAGATCTTATCTCGTGTCTGAGCTTCTGTAAAACATGTGATAAATCAGACCAGCTTGATAGCTTCTCATTGCAATAACTCTATGCCACTACTCTCCACCCCTCCCTCCATTCTTTCCATATTTGCTCTGTTTTCGATTTTTCTATTTTACAAAAATCCAATTCTTACTTTCTTAGGCTAACCATTATTGGTCTTTTAAATTACTGTTAAAAATAAACAGAATTTAATTCTATTCCTTTTTTCCACTAATCACGAAGTGAGCTTATACCATTATGCAATTCCCAACACGCATTCATGCCACTTCTTTCACATTTGCGTCAATGCACATTCAATCTGCCTGAAAGATTTTTTAAGAAGTATTTAAAGAAAACTTGTGCTCTAAGCTTTTGCTTTTTCTATGATAAATACATCAGTGGTTGTATTGCCAAAACTTAATGTCGTCTGTTCATAATGCAGCTTAAATTATCTTTGGGGGCATGGTGCCCTTATGTATTGAATATATATTTTGCCATCAAAGTTGCGGGGTGCATTTGACATTATGCATAACAAATATTCTTGTTGATATTTTATTTTTAATTAATTAATTTATATATAAACTTTGTTTACTAAAATAAAAAAAGTAACACCATCTGACTAACATCAATGATAACATCATAACACAATGACATCCGATTTTTGTTTTTAACTGCACTGCTAAATAAAAATGTAATATATTCAAAAATGTTTTATTCAATTTTCGGCTGGGATGGGGTTGGATAACATCGATATAAAACATACTCCAGCTTACTAACAAACTAACCCCCCAGAGTGGTTTCTGTAACCTCGCGGCCGGCTGTGAAGACCTCTAGTGAGACCGGAACCAACATTTATGTTCTCGCTGGACACGAAAACAGTTTCTAGTCTCGTGGCACGCGAGAATTGTTCTAGGCTTTCAGGTTCTTTTCGCAGCTGCACGAACATCCATCTCCGCCATTTTTTCTTCGAGTAAAAATAATTTGCGGCATTTGCTCCTGAGATGCCATTTTTGATTTTAAAATGCCACCTGTATCTAGAGGAAAATTTCGGAGAGTGCTTGTTTCTGCTGTAGCGTCTGCATGCTTCTGTTTGGCATGCCATGTTTAATATTTTAAATCATATTTTACATTTTTTAGGCATTACATATCAAACAGACAAGGTTGCCATTGAAGTGCATTTATATTGTATTCCATTTTAAACTTGACAAAAAATTCAACAAATCTTAATGTCTGCATGTTAATTGTTGAATTTTTTTCAATTGTTATTAATACTTAAAACAGTTACATTGGGAATATTTCCAATTTCCTTACTTATCTTTTTGTTGTTGCTTTTAAAATTTTATTTTGAAAGGTGAAGCTTTTTAGATTAGAATTAGTAATGAATAAAAACGTATTATAAAATTCAAAATTTAATTTAACTTTTATTATTTTTTTAATTTTAGCATTTCTTAAATGGAGTGTTCGCGAAAAATGAAAGGGGGTATAGGCTTAATGCGATTAAAAAGCGCTTTTGATCGTTACTAATCTTTATTTCTATCTATTGCGTCTATAAGGATAAAATTGTTAAAGACGTCTCATAACGAATTACTTAGCGTCCTTACAAATTGTGAAAATTGCAACATACGACTTAGACCGTAAAAAAAAATCAATTTAATTTCAAACAAATCATTCAGATATTACAACCTATAGTCATCGATCATTTTTCGCCACATTTGTATATAGTTTATATTTTATAATATTTTTTAATTAATTTGTTTTAAATTTGATTATTTCTCTGTCGCTTGTGCAACTATCTAAGAATGGCGCGCACCACTCACATTTTTCGAAATCCGTTAAAAACGTTTTTTAAAAAAATAAAATATAAAAAATATTATAAAATATGAAATATATGTACATTGTACATTGTACTTATTCAATATTTTTGTTTGTTAATTTTGATATTTTCTGTTTTATAACTCGCAGTTGGTTGATTTGAAGGTTTACAAGACAACCAAGAAATCACAACTTTCCTTCCATTTGCTGATTAATTTAAAGCTTTAAGTATCTGTATTCAGACCTGAACTCTCTCACTTAATGGCATGCCTAACAATTATTTGTAAAGGGGAGTTGAAGACGCAGTTTTGTAGTAAACAAGATTAAAATTAATTATTATTTTGATATTACAATGTATTAATTATATAATTATTGATTGCAATACAAGTTTCAAACTTATTTAAATGTTCAATGTTAATATTTCAAATTCCTCTTGTTTATCAATTTGGTTCTATAAAACCAAAACTTTTTCAACTCTTCTGCTAATTAATTTGGTTATATAATATATCTGGAAAATCGTAACTTCTCTAAACTGCTCTTTTAGTTCATTTTATGGAACAAAATGAATTTTAAAAAATGAATTTAAACAAAAAAAATCATCAATTCTGTTTTATTGTCTGCGTAAGTGAAATTGACTTCAGCGTTCATTTTATTTTTAATACGGATCTATTATTATTATTATTATTATTATTATTATTATTATTATTATTATTATAGGATAATCACTGTGCAGAGCAGTCCAGAGAGTGCTGAAGTAAGCGCTGTAACAGCTCCCGGTCAACAGACGGTAACAGCGGATGCTGACAATGGGGTCAACCTGTATATTCTTGCTGGACACGAGGCTATGCAGCTTTAATTTAAAGTACAGCATTAATATATTCATGAGATGTTAGGGAAACTGCAGATGTCTTATGTATTATTATTTCCATTAAAACAGCGGATTCCTTAAGGTTAGCTGATTTATTGAAATCAGCTGATTTCTTGATCACCTGATTCCTTCATCAGCTGATTTATCAAGATCAGCTGATTCCTTCATCAGCGGTTCTTTTGAAACCAGCTGATCCCTTGAGATTTCTCGTTTAACAGCGATCTTGGGAATAATTTAATTTCACTCTGTTCTCTTTACTCTCTTGGCTAGCTGCCGCTTTGATAATTCACATCTCTCATAATCTATAAATCCAAGATTATCCGTTAGTTTTTCTTTTATTTGACACATCAAGGGGTTGTTCGCCATTTTTGAATTGTTTGTAAGCGAAACGCATTCCATTTGAAAGAAAACCCGGACACCCGTCCTCCCCCCAATTAAAACAATTATGACATATTTTTTAAAGTTCACTTTTACTATGGATACAATGTCTTCTAAGATTATAACACTACAGATAATAAATTTAAATAGTTAATACAGTTTTAAGAAAATAGAAAAATATTTATGCCTTTATATTAAATATCAAGCAAAAATATTCCAGCATGCTGAGCTTTAGCTTTGTTTTAATGGATCTGTCAATCAATTTTCAATATTTTAGTTGTGAAACATCACATTGTTCACGGTCGTCTTAGTTCCGGCAAATATATGAACAATTAAAGATCGTCTTTTCCATGATTAAAGTGATAACTAAATAAATCCTATTATACATTCCTGCTCACCCTTCAACAACGTGGTATATATTTTCATGAACTGTCACTTTTTTCACAATGGGTTTCTGATGGTTATTATCAAAGAATTTGATATTAGTATCTCAAAATGGTAATTTATAATAACATAACCCTTCGTTGTGAATTCAAACACTTATTCAAACTGAAAAGAAGAATTACCCTGAATTTAGAGAATTTATTTTTAAAAATTTCCAGTTAAATCAAATTTTTGTTAAACTTATATTACATTATCACATGCTAGATATGCTTTCTATTACAGTTTAGAAATACCCCCGCGCCACAAAATAATGCACACACTGTTGTACAGGGTGTCCCATATCATATTAGATCGTTAATCAGTCTAAATTATGTTTTTTTGGGACTAATAAGAAATATTAAGAAGAATATATCATTTCGTAAAATTGGATAAGACTTATATAAATTTTTTCTTGCAGAAAATGTTAGGTTTTTCGAGTATTATGGGTTTATTTTGGCATTAAAGCTTGGAGATAGTCTAATATGATATGGGACGCTCTGTAACTTTCTTGTAACAAACCTAACATTGCTGGATATTTTGTGTTCTTGTGTCGCTTCCAAAATGTGGAAGTATTCTCCTTTTTTTTAACAGATATCTTTGTTTTTTTGTCGGTTTTTTAGATATTTCTTTTATTTCGTTTTTTTTACATTATATATTATAGATTATATGAGAATAAGAAAGACCAGTGAACTTTTTGATTTAATAGTTAATGTTTATTTTAAAAAAAAAGGCTGTTGGATAACATGGAACGCCTTAATCCATAAGCGCGTTTATAAAGTTATTTGTTTAATTTAAATTCCATTGAAAGAGGATGTCATTGTAATCTAAAGGGATTATAAAGAAAAAATGAACGGGGGTATAGACTGAAAGCTAATCATATAGCTCTTGATCGCGACACATGAAAGTTATATCTGATGTTCTCGCCTCGAGAAATTGATTAAAAAACTGTCAAATTTTTTCGAAAATTCATATACATGCAGCAGAACTCCCACTAATGATAGTGCAGTGTACTGGTTATGTGTCTCTGTCTGTATCACGTGACCAGATATTGGTGGATGTTCTGATGACGTCATACAGACTTAAAAATAATATGTTCAATTATATCTATTAAAAATAGAAATAATAAAAATAATAATTAGAGAAAACCTAAGTTACAATTTGGTTTCTCTGGCATATCTTTGTTTTCAGATTGGTTGCGTATTTGCTGAATATGATCTGTTTAAACCTACCATTTCTATACAAAATTGTACAACTTTGACACAGTTTTTTATCAATCTTGAAACAAGACCATCAGAGAACTTTCATGGGCCGCGATCAAGAGCTAAAGTGATTAGCAAACCCAAATTTTCTAATTCCTATATCTGCTACCTAATTGTGTAGACCTTTGATATTGCAAACTTAGATTATTTGATCTTAAATAATTACAAGTCACAGTTTGAAATATCTCAGGTCTACGACTTGAGGTAGCAAGAATAAAGGGATTAGAAAATCAGGGTTTCTGTCAAAGACTCAATTACTTTCCACCTTTTATTCTGTTTTCAACGATAAAATGATAGATGTAGCATGTATTTTTGATCTGAAACGCTTCATGCCACAATCTATGAATGTTAAATCACTTAAAATGACGGCTTCACTTTCAGTCCCGTTTAAGAGAGCAGGATTAATATTGATTGCATGCGGTTTAGTTCTAGTACCATGTGAATGAGGCCGGATTTTTTAGTTTCTACAATTTTTACAATGTTTACCTAATACCCATGTGCCTATGAAAACCCTATTTATACAACTGTTTCCTTGTGGATCCAAGTTTCTATTTTGTCATTTTATTTTTACCCCGAGTGTCCCAGCTAAGCTTGGGTATCGTTTTTACATCCTTTTTTGTCTTTGAAAAGATGTTGGCTTCTTTAATAGTGATTGAAACAAAAGCTTTTTTTATTATCAGCTAATGTTGATTTCTCTCTAGGGACTTCCACTGAAACTAAGATGAACCACTAATCTTGATCGCTGGGTTAAGCTGAAGAGAAGTGGTTCAACTCAGTCTCAGATTTGGTCCTGTCAAGATAAATTAATTTCGAGGCATAGCATTACTTTGCTTCAGTTTTCTAGCACAAAATAGGTTTTACATTCTAGCGGAGGAAAAATAATGTTAATCTGTAAACGATATCCAACCTCAGTTGGACACAGCTTATCTTGTCCCTCAACACAAATTTCTCGCTGAGACTTCGTTGATAATACCGTATTATTAAGGGATAATGTTCCCTGGGGTTCTATTCCCCCCCCCCTCTGTATTTTATCATGTCTCGGTTGCTTTTTACCCCCTTTTAAGGGAGTTCAATTGGCTTTGTTTTTTTTTTAGAAAGGGGGCTTCAAATAATTAAATTCGACCTAAAGGCGCTTAGTTGGAATATACATCATGTAACTCTGCAATCCTTATTGTGTTCTTAATATAGTATAAATATATATAAATATCCTAAGTTGTTGTAACCTTTGTTATATCAAATATATACATTAAAAAAGAAAACCTCCTCATATTGCGTGTGCGATGTTTTATAATTTTGTTAAATACTACAGTGATGACCAGAAAACTCTGAAATGGAAAGCGACTTTTAGAATTAAGTTGATAACTTAATAAAGGCCCATGAGCATGAGACACAGCAATGATGCAGTTAGTGATTTTAATAATTAAACAATTTTCTTATTAACAACATCAAATACACTCAAGTATTGCTATAACGTCGTCTTCCTTTTCCAGAGTTTTCTGATTGAATCTTTCTAGAGATCACAAATTAAAATATTTTACAAAAACTATTATGTTCTTCAAATTGCACTCATTGCGCCAATAAAGTGAAATGTTTCTGAGATAACATTACAGAAGCAAGAAAGTACTCCACTAGGAATACTAAGGCATGTTCATTAAATACATTTTTTGACAATAAATTGTCATATTTTTCAATTCTGTAAATTGTTACTCCCGTTTCCAAGTCGGTTCCATGGATACCCATATCAATAAGATTTGAATATTTTCATTTTCCTGTAAGGCTACTATATTTTTTCCAAAAATTTTATTTTTGAGCCCAATTTGAGAGGCCCCACTTTTGATTTTTGTGAAATTTAGTTTGTGAATTTAAAAATGATGAATTATTTAACTCAAATAATAATAGGAGTTTTTCAGGCTCCTCTGGGATATCGTCGTTTTCAAATTGGCTGCGTATTTGCTGAATATAATCTTTTTAAAACTTAAATCCAGAAAAATAATATCTGTTGGATGCCTGCGTAGAGACTGGCAGCTAGTGGGGACTTAAATGTTGATATGTGGCCACAGCGCTCGGCCCCTAGTCTGTTTTAGCCGCAGCGCTCGGCCCAGAAAGTGTCTTCTTAACTTAACCTAACCCTAAGTAAATACTAATTTAATTATTTTTCTGGATCTACAAAATTCAATACCCCTCTCTCTGTTTTGGAATTTTCCGGGGCATTGAACACAACATGAAACCCACTACGCCAGGCTGGGAGACATTTATCACGAAACCTTCATAACAAAATCACGGAACCTCGATTAAAGATCTTAAATCCTATCGAGAACATAACGCTCCATTTTTCGGTTATTGGTAAGTAACAGAGTGACTCACAAAACATACCAGAAGAGAATTTTCTAGTAGGTTTCTCATTGACCCGTATCATTGGACATCCTGTATTCCATAATGAGCGAGTTTAAACTAAGTTTCTTGTTTGATCTCTTTGTCTTATGTCGTTAAAAAGTCGTCCGACTGTAACACAGCATAAAGTTAACTTTAGTCCAAAATTAATACTGCAGGATTACCAACACAAGGATGTGACTGTAAAGACAACGACAAAACTGTGTAATGATTGGGCACAGAAAGAAACAAATTAACAGTTCAATTAATTCTAAATGTAAGTAAACAGACAGTGTTAATTCCGTACAGTCGTCTGTGAAGTGCCATCCTTTGTGGGTGAACCCTTCACATTCAAAACTGAATACTTAAATTTTGCGAAACCTAGATGTAAAATTCTTAGAATAACTTGGCAAAGACAATTATCGAATTTTGGCCTGACGTTGACTTATATGACAAGATTTTTATAGTTATCGAAATACATTTTATTTTGGGTAAAAAAATGCTTTATATCCAGCTAAATTAATTGGTCGTTGTACTTGCTGACATTAATCAATTTTGTAGGATTTTAAACAATTCATATTTATGTTTTTACTTCGTTTATGAAATAGAACTTTTTCTATTTTATTGTTGGGATAAATTAGAAGATGCCTGAAGGAATTAAAGGGTTAGGACAGGGATGATGATGTGAATAGAACTGTTATCAAACAACCATGTTTAACATTGAAAACTCAGGTTCATCTGAAGTACCGTACTAACTTTTAGGCAGTTCTAAGAGTATGTTGTACAGTAAACACATACAGATTATAGTTTATACGGGACGGTACACCAAAGTAATCATCTCCCTAGCTCTATAGTGGGGGCTGCAAACGGAGTCCCGTTACGCAGAGTTGCGCGGAATTGTGCTTAAATTGTGCTAAATTACAGGGTTCGCAATTGCGCGCAAGGAAATCTTCTTGTGTTGGAAACCCTGCTCTCTATAGAGGTTAACGTGGTAATATTCCATAATAATATTCCATAAAAATATTCCATAATAATATTCCAGCAAATTTACACATGGATCTTAGTTGCTTTTTTATTTGGAAAACTTTAACACTCACAATTTTTAAGATAAATGTAAACTAAAGGGGATATTGTCCATCTTAAACTACAGGGGATATTGTCCATCTTAAACTACAGGGGATATTGTCCATCTTCAACTAAACGAAAATATATTGTCCATCTTAAACCATAGGGGATATTGTCCATCTTCAACTAAATGAAGTTATATTGTCCATCTTAAACTACAGGGGATATTGTCCATTTTAAACTAATTTATTGTCCATCTTAAACTAAATGGTGTTATATTGTCCATCTTCAACTAAACGAAAATATATTGTCCATCTTAAACTACAGGGGATATTGTCCATCTTAAACTAAATTAAGTTATATTGTCCATCTTCAACTAAACGAAAATATATTGTCCATCTTAAACTACAGGGGATATTGTCCATCTTCAACTAAACGAAAATATATTTTCCATCTTTAACTATAGGGGATATTGTCAATCTTCAACTAAATGAAATTATATTGTCCATCTTAAACTACAGAGAAAATTGTCCATCTTAAACTACAGGGGATATTGTCCATCTTCAACTAAATGAAGTTATATTGTCCATCTTCAACTAAATGAAGTTATATTGTCCATCTTAAACTACAGGGGATATTGTCCATCTTAAACTAAATTAAGTTATATTGTCCATCTTCAACTAAACGAAAATATTTTGTCCATCTTAAACTACAGGGGTATTGTCCATCTTCAACTAAACGAAAATATATTTTCCATCTTTAACTATAAGGGATATTGTCAATCTTCAACTAAATGAAGTTATATTGTCCATCTTCAACTAAATGAAGTTATATTGTCCATCTTAAACCACAGGGGATATTGTCCATCTATAACTAATTTATTGTCCATCTTAAACTAAGACACACATTTTTTAAAGAAAGTAATCCATGACATCCAGGAACATCGATGAAATCGGTTCTATAGGCTCCAATCCAATCCGAAATGGAAAATGAGTAGTTTTTTTTTTATTTTAGAAATAGTCAACAATCCCTTTAATGCTGGAGGCAGTGGGTCCAACCAGCTTCCTAGATACTTGCTCCAGGATACAGTATACTTAGCTTTGATTGATTGATTGTCAGTAGTTTTCTATACCTGGAGGAAAAAACTATCCAGACAGGGAAAGGACGGATTTAATTAACAGCATCCTGCAACTTTAAACTTGCGTCTATCTTTGTATTATTCAGTAGGCCATTAAAAGACACTCAAAGTTGAAAAACTTAAATTAACATCGGGATTGTCATGTTTTTGTAGGTGTAACCGTGTAACCATCCCTGTATAAAAGTAAAAAATGAATAATTTCGAACAACAGAAAATTTTTCATTGTTTTTTTATAATCAGACATACAGAGCGTCCCATATCATATCAGAATATCTCCAAACTTGAACGCCAAAATACGCACATAATACTCGAAAAGCTTAGTATTTTCTGCATGAGAATCTTTATAATAGCAATGTAGATTTTTTAAAAATGATTAGTTCTTTTTAAATTTTCTGATTAGTTCCGGAAATCGCAATTTAAAGCTATAACACAATCCAAGTTGATAAGGGACACCCTGTATGTTAAGAATAAGAATTATGAACAAATAATTATTTACTTTTTAATATTGTTGGATCAATTTTTCATTTTCTGAGATATATTTTCCTTTCAAAATGGAGACAGCTCAAATCTCAATACAATTCTGAATATGTTGATATTCAAAAATGTTCAGTGCTTGTCTAACATGTAAAATCGTGCCAACACAACCATTTGTCAAATTTCGGGGTCAGAGGGAGGATTTAGAGGGGGGAGGGGGAGTATATACGAGCAAGGGTTAGCTCTAAAAATATTGGGTAATATCATTTATTAAGTTTCCGATCTGTTATCTTATTATGTAACATGTAAATGTTTTGATGGAATTGCAGAGTTGTCAATATTTGAATATATAATGTTGTTCTTTAAATTCATTCAAGCTAACTACAAAAAAGAGGACTCTATTCTCAGCAGTACTGTAACTCGTATTAACTCCATAGTCCAAAATACCTGAAAAAGGATTTTTTCTCCAATGAAACAAATTTTAATATGAATTTTGGAAAGAAAAAGAGAAAAACTTATCCGCAAATTAAAGAATTTTCTAAACTAAAAAAATACAAAGAATGTAAATGTATCAACCTAAAAAAGTAGACCTATTTATCCACTAAACAAGTAGACCCTATATATCCACTAAACAAGTAGACCTATTATATATCCACTAAACAAGTAGACCTATATCTCTACTAAACAAGTAGACCCTATATATATCCACTAAACAAGTAGGCCTATATATCCACTAAACAAGTAGACCCTATATATCCACTAAACAAGTAGACCTATATATCATATCCACTAAACAAGTAGACCTATATCTACTACTAAAAAAGTAGACCCTGACCTATATATCTACTAAACAAGTAGACCCTATATATATCCACTAAACAAGTAGACCTATATATCCACTAAACAAGTAGACCCTATATATCCACTTAACAAGTAGAGTGTAGACCCTATATATATCTACTATAAAAAAGTAGACCCTATGGCCTATATCCCTCCTAAGCTTGACATTGAAAGGTGTGAGAGTAGACCTATCTAGAGATTTATCTGAAGCTTGTATAGTTTAGTTCAATTGTTATACATGCATTGTTCAAATAGCAGGGAGACAGCAGAGACAAATAATAGAACATTATGTTCAAGTAGAATTAACTATTCAAGGAGTAAAGATAAAAGTGAATCTAATATTCAAAAAGATTGTTTTGTGTACTGCAGTGC